GCTGTCACGGGAGGGGCATTCCTCAGCCTGCCCCACCCCCGCGGGGCCCCTGCTCCGGACTGTGGAATGGGAACCCTGTGCGTGTCCCCCCCACTGTCCTCTGAAAGGGGAGGACGACTAGGTGGTATGTGAGCCATGTCAGCTCACCAAGGCCTCGGCGCCTTGATGTGGGCTAGGGTTACTGCAGCTGCCGGCGGGGCTGGCCCCCTCCTCCCACTGGCCTTGCAGACCCCCCGGAGCCGGAGGGAGGGGGGGGGGCGGGCGGCCAGCTCTGTTGGGGTCACCTGCACCCAGGGGGTAGGCTGGGCGGGCCGCTCTTCCCAGCTGTCTCTGGGATTCTGAGATGCGGGTGTGCTCCCAAGGGCTCCCAGTTGTGTTTCTAGAGCTTTCCCAGCTGGGCCCAAGGCCGGGGCCCTTCTCACGTGCCCTCGTCTCTGCAGATGACACTGGCCCGGGAAGGGAGCGTCTGGGGCACGACGGCCCTTCTGGGGGCCAGGAGGACCCGGCCGGCAAGCAGTGGGGTGAGATGGGACCGGCGTCTCCCTTCCCCTCGGGCGCAGGTGGGGGGCTGGCCTGCCCGGTGCCTTGCTGACCTCGGTGCCGCCCCGTCCCGCAGCACGGCCCCGCTTCACACAGCCCTCCAAGATGAGGCGCCGGGTGATCGCGCGGCCGGTGGGCAGCTCCGTGCGGCTCAAGTGCGTGGCCAGTGGGCACCCACGGCCCGACATCATGTGGATGAAGGATGACCAGGCCTTGACGGGCTTGGAGGCCGGCGAGCACAGGAAGAAGTGGACGCTGAGCCTGAAAAACCTGCGTCCCGAGGACAGCGGCAAGTACACGTGTCGCGTGTCGAACCGGGCGGGCGCCATCAACGCAACCTACAAGGTGGACGTGATCCGTGAGTGCCAGGCCTGGGGGGGCGGGGAGCTGGCGGTGCCCGGGGCGAGTGCCGATGCGCTGTGTCCTCGCGCAGAGCGGACGCGCTCCAAGCCTGTCCTCACGGGCACGCACCCCGTGAACACGACGGTGGACTTTGGGGGCACCACGTCCTTCCAGTGCAAAGTGCGCAGTGACGTGAAGCCGGTGATCCAGTGGCTGAAGCGCGTGGAGTACGGCACCGAGGGCCGCTACAACTCCACCATCGATGTGGGCGGCCAGAAGTTCGTGGTGCTGCCCACGGGCGACGTGTGGTCGAGGCCCGACGGCTCCTACCTCAACAAGCTGCTCATCACCCGCGCCCGCCAGGACGACGCGGGCATGTACATCTGCCTGGGCGCCAACACCATGGGCTACAGCTTCCGCAGCGCCTTCCTCACCGTGCTGCCAGGTGCGTGCGCCTGCTCCCGGCCCCGGGGCCCCTCCGTGCCGCGGGCCGGCCTCTTGTCGCTGGGACCCATGGCGCCGTTCCCCTCCCCAGCCCCCTCCTCGGTCCCTCTTGCAGACCCCAAGCCACCAGGGCCGCCCGTGGCCCCCTCGTCCTCGACCGCTAGCTTGCCGTGGCCCGTGGTTATCGGCATCCCGGCCGGCGCCGTCTTCATCCTGGGCACCGTGCTCCTGTGGCTCTGCCAGGCCAAGAAGAAGCCGTGTGCGCCTGTGCCTGCCCCTCCTCTGCCCGCACACCGTCTGCCCGCGACTGCCCGCGACCGTGGTGGGGACAAGGACCTTCCTGTGCCCTCCGCCCTCGGCACCGCCCCCGGTGTGGGGCCGTGTGAGGAGCTGGGGCCTCCGGCAGGGCCCCAACACCTGCTGGGCCCCGGCCCGTCTGCCGGTCCCAGACTCTACCCCAAGCTCTACACGGACGTGCACACGCACACGCACACGCACACGCACTCTCACGTGGAGGGCAAGGTTCACCAGCACCAGCACATCCACTACCAGTGCTAGACGGCGACACCTCTGGGGCGCCGGCCCGCGGCAGCTCTCGGTGCCGTGGGGGGTGGGCATGTGGAGGTCAAGGTGGGCAGGCTGGGGGAGAGGGCCACCGAGGGAGACGGACCACAGGCAGGAGGCGCGGCCAGCACCCTGGGTGCCCGGTGTGTAGGACACACACACACGTATGACCTGGCTCTGGACACACACACACACACACACACACCCCCTCAGACTGAGACGCTTTGGGGAAGGCCCGTGTTTGTAACTTTGCAGTGTGCATGTAGCAGCGTGCTCGTTGATGAAGGAATCCCTTGGCTCCTGTGAGGATTTCACAGGGACCACGGTCAAGCCACCCCTCCCCGCGCCTGGCAGGAGATCTGAGAGGCACCCTGGCTTCGCGAACCGAGACTTCCCGCCCCCTGCCCTGTGCCTGCCGCCTGCGTCCCTGCCCAGGCCTCCGCGGGGGGGGGGGGGG